AAGGTTCGTTGAACACAGTGGTTGTCTTGAGGCCGATAATGTTTATCGAGAACCATCTCGAGTTTATCCTCTTATTCTTTATCCTATTTTAGTTTTATATTTCGTAATACCTCTAATTGAAGTAAAATAATACTGAATAAATTATAAAGTACTCTTTCCACAAACTTTAATTACAGACATTATCAACAACTCATAATAAGCAATATAATGATACGAATTCAATACCTTCGTTTCATAGCGTGTACAGTGAATTTGATGTGACTTCTACAAAAACTTTTATAATGAAGTAGACTTCAATAAATCATACATAATAAATATCGTATCGTTAAAACAGTTATTGAAAACTCATGTCCATGACATGAGCAAGATGATACTTGACGCTATTAATCATTTAAAAACTATTTCTGTTATTTACTACGAATATTTATAAAGTATATAATCATTTTTAAAAGGAAAATAGGGAAATATGTGATTACTAGACTCGATCATGGATTACGTGTCTCGTTTGTGATGCGTCACCGGGTATATGGGGCAGTGCTTCGATACGCCGGTACAACCTGCACTGCACTAACCTTGGTTTGACATCGCGGAGTGTGCGTGCTAGTGGAAAGGTAAGATGGCGGCGGACGGAGATGTGATTCCTGATCAAGAAAAAGTACGAATAGTTTCGGACTTTATACTGCACTCGCCACCGGGTGAATTCAACGAGGTTTTCAATGATGTGAGGGTCTTGTTGAGCAACGACAACCTGTTGAAAGAGGGTGCGTCCGGGGCATTTGCTCAATACAACAAGGATCAGCTCACGCCTGTTAAGGTACATCATCGACCTTTCTGGCGATCTTCTACGATTTTTTATGATAGTATCCGCGGTGTTATTTCGTATTTGTGGTAATCGTGGATCGAGGCATCAGAGGAACGCGCGGGATCGAATTTCAACGTCCAGTACCGTTCCTAATCGGGCAACACGCGTTCGGGTTTTCGACAGGTGACGTTGACTTTACAGTGAAATTGGAGCGCGATAATGTTCATCTGACTGGTGTGATTGTTTACTGAAAATATTGTCAACTCGATACAAGGAAGTTCCAACGTGAAAGTCTTCGTGAAATCTCGATCGGGATCGTGTGGCGCTGTAGGGTTAATTTTAGTTACACTTCGTGATGGTTTTTTTCACAGAAAATGTTCAGAATCGATTTCTAATTTCGTTTTCCTTGTTTCTGTTATTGTTCCGTTTTATAATTTCGAGGCTACACGTATCTTATGGTTGAATCAGGCGAAAGTCAGTTAAGGTTAGACACTGAACTATTACAGGGATATTTTATGAGCTAATGTTTCAAAATAGCTTTTAAGACAGTCTGAGAATTTCACATTATATTTATTAATTTATTTCAATGCTTGACTTTAGATTGAGGGAAGTGAATATCCAGCACTTATAACAGAACACAATGATCTAGGTGGGCAAAGGTTTTACGATGCTCGTAGTAAGCAGAGTTTTAGATATGATCATCTTAGAAAGGAAGCACAGGACTATGAACCGTATGAACCAGATCCTGTAGCTGAACCATGGAGGTCAGCTCTTCAGGATGAAATAACAACTTATACTCAAAGTCATTATAGACATGGTGCATGTTCAATTTTTGGCAAGAGTCAAGGAGGTATTACTGTCTTTTAATTTAGAGCGAAATCTTCTACTTGAAAGTACAAAGTGCAAACGTTCAGTGGTGTTTTTGTTTATGCAGGTAACATTACATTAACAGCTTGCATAGAAGATCATCAGTTTCAACCTAAAAATTTTTGGAATGGTCGTTGGCGTTCTGTGTGGACTGTAAGTTTTAGTCCAAGTTCAGGAAATGCAGAATTAAGGGGTAGTCTTAAAGTACAAGTTCATTACTATGAAGATGGAAATGTACAGCTGGTCAGTAGCAAAGAAGTAAAAGAAAGCTTACCAATTTCGAATGAAAAGCAAACAGCGAAGGAGTTAATACGTCTTGTTGAGGAATCAGAGAACGACTATCAGACTGCTATTTCGGAAAACTATCAAACAATGTCTGACACAACCTTTAAAGCCTTGCGAAGGCAGTTACCCGTTATGCGAACAAAAATTGACTGGAACAAAATTGTATCGTACAGTATTGGCAAAGAGCTTAAAAGTCAATAGAAATAGATTTTTTTATATAATATTAAGAGAAATAATTAAAAAGCGCATTTTGCTGCATGGGTGAAGTCTGGAGGTGTGATGTGCATGGGAGCAAATGTAACAATGCTATAAATGTTTGGTTAAAGATGTTTGACTGAAACTCATGCATGCCACTCAAGGTTCCTCTGGACCCCTTAACGTACATTATTGCAAGATCTAGAGCAATAAAAAAAAAAAAAAAAAAAAAAAAAAATAGAGAAAAAGTATACTATTGCTTTTTTCTACCTGTTTTTATAAGTTCTATATTAACGATTTCTAACTGCTCAAAACATATATTCACAATCTTGTATTTTATTTTTAATGAATTTTATCAGCAAATGTGTTGCTATATCACTGATTTAACGTGTAATAGAATTTATATGCTGATTAGAACATTCAGCTATTGTTTTACAGTATTCGATATAATATTGATTTATACGTTGATTCTCAATTAATCAATGCGTGTTACATTTGCTTATAAAATTAATAATATATAATAATTTACTTATTTGGGGTAACGGGGATCCTTGGTCTTACTTTTTGTAAGCATTTTGATTAGAATTATATTTAGTGAATCAGACAACGTCAAATCTGTAATTATTAGCAAAAATCAAATACGAATCTGGAACTTAGGAGTGGAACTTTGGAATTCATTGATGCATTTAATGGATTCATTCAAAGTTTATCAATTAGATAGTAATCTATTCTGTTAGTACAGAACAGATATAAATTAGCTAATTTATATTTCCCTGATCTCGTGCAATAATTAACTTTTAACATGAACACATCTGATGAGTTGCATTTATTGAATTATTCAGTACAGTTAACTGTAAGGATTATTATCTCATTGATAATTTGGATGAATGTGTTATTCTGCTCCGTAACTTCTGTACTATGCAATTTATAACAATCACACTTTGGAGTTGAAGCTTCATATTAAAGAAAAAAAGGTTGAATACCTTTCCTTTAAATTATATCGATATCGTGGTGTTATCAGTCAAGGTATAGCATAATGAAAAATGTTACACAGTGGAAACGAAATTGCTGTCTAACATGTGCATGTTCGGTCAGCCTAATGAAATCATCGAGTTAAAATACTTGAATCAATGAGGATTAAAATTTCAATTCATTAGATGCACAATAATACAATCTCTTCTAACACTTAAGCCTTGTAACACTTAAAAAGCACAATAACACATCTTGTACATCGTTAAACGAATTTTACCGTATTGGTTTCATGCTATGTACAAATATAATAGCATGCTGGGGCCACAGGTGATGTCAAAATATGTAATATCAAACGGAATAGGTATTGTCTATCTTCGATTCACAACCTGGTACAGAATGCCATTACGTGTTCATACCATTCAGTACACAAAATATACAAAGGAAAAAAAACTTAATTCTTAACAAATATTGGTGGGCAAGGCCTACTATTTTTGTCTAACTTTATATTTCATAAAGTATAAATTTATACATTTTTGTTAAGATGTATTGTTTTATGATAAGTATGTCTATTATGGCAGATACGTTGCAAAGTTTAATAATACTGAATAAAATAAATGTTAATCATTGCAACTTAATTTCTGTGTTAATCGTATTGTAGTTATATGGGTCATTTGTATCGAATAATGATGTTGAAAAAAAAAAAGAAAATCTTTTGGTGCTATCGCTTACCACACATTACACAACCAGACATGTACGCGAAACGGAAACTAACAAAGTACATAATGCATTGTACATTGTAGAATGTAGCCTATAGCCTGCTGGAGCCTTAATCTGTTCACTTTACGTTGAGGGGGTATTATGTACATATGTTATTTGAATGAATGAATGCGATGAAGCACACTACCATTTGACTTCTCAGACTCTAGGATTCGAAACATGTTTGTAATATTATTCATATTTTGTAAGTTACATCGTAATTCAAAATATTTCATTTAACTATACCATTTGATAACTTTTGGAAGAAATCTTTGGAGCAGACTACATGCACAATTTAAATATACAAGACTATACGTCGTTTTATTAGTTGTGAAAAAAAGAAAAGGATTAGAAGAAATGTGCAGGGATATGATACAAAGAAAAAAATTAGTATACTAAATATTGCAATAATGAAATTTTATATGTAAATATGAACATGCATATTATTTCCACATTGTAATTTGTGTTACGTATGTAAATTACAAATGAAGCGTTGAAGTTTCGAATCTTATCAAACTTTACAGAAGAATAGTTGCCTATGATAATAAAATTAGGTATTACCTACAATCGAGTGTATCGTAAAATAAGAAACGCATGTCCTTATGTAAAAACTTAAACCAGAATACATTTATCAGTTAAATTATGTATTATTAAATGTTATGATTGATTAAATAAAGTGACATGACACTTTATGATTTGCTTATCAACTTTAAAAGCTACACGCTTCAATGTAGAAAAGGAATAAATTCAATCCCTAAATGAACTATAATTTTACCAGTTAATACATATGCATATTAATGAATGTAGGTAATACAATTATGGAATATTCGAGGTAAAAGAAAATACATACAAAAATGTATTACATATTTTGTTTTTGTACTTCATGTGATGTAAACAGACGAAAGGATACACATGCAAAATTGTATTTATAGAATCGTGGAAAAGAATAATTTTAACGTTATAAATAGGATAGAAAAAATGCGTACGATTTCCGTCATATTTTTAAATTATTTTATTGCAATATGTGTTATTGAATTTACTTTCTTATTATTGTGCTCCATATAAACAGAGTGCACATGTACTACCGTGCGACAACGGTACTTACAGTACCGACTACGTGACCGCAAAATTGAAAATGCTTACCTTACACCGACGCGTGACGAGATTCTGAAATACTATTCCAATCATGTCAAGTCGATAATCTGTGCGCATAATTAAAAGACGATCCAAAACCCGATCCCACGAATTTTGACGTTCACAGCCATGTTTGTTTACAACGCGGTCGTTGCTAACGCGCCATAGACCGACCGGTCACGTGACATAATCATGTGATCACCGACTTTATTGCGGGACGATGTATGCAGTGCGTTGACTATCACGGAAGGCAGAACCGGTTAAAAATTGTTCTCGTATAAATTTTCAATCACTGATTATAAGAAACTGTGATACTTTTTCAACGATGGCTCTAATGCCGAGGGAATCTGCGAAATTGATAGCAAGACTGTCGAAGAATGTTTTCATCGAAGAAGAAGGCGTTAAAAACCTTGCATGCGCGGTAAGTAATTTCGCAGTGTCCTGTGGAATTTATCTTTTTATTTTGAAACTGCAAAAATCTCATTTATATAAACCGTGTGCAACATATGTTAACCACCATATTCTGTCCATTTCTTAGTTTAAATAGAATGTAAGAAATATTATTACTGCTGGTAAATGAAAGTATACTCAAAACAGCAAACTTTCGTTACAGATTTTAGAAGGTCTTAAAAATCACAAGATAAACGTGAATAATTTTTCCCAACACGAGTATCATCCTTCTCCGGATGATCCAAGGGCTATTGATTGGATATTCATTTTGGACACATTGAATTATTCATTTTGGAGCAAGAAGGGTTCTTTGAAATGGACTGTGAACGGTCAAACTGGATATTTTGCATTGTGTGCTGCTATTAAGAGGGCTATAGACGTGAGTTAATGCATGTTTTTAATTTTAATATAAGACTTCAGAATCAGTTTTAATTAATGAAAATGTAGTAAATTACTTTTTACATTCATCAATATTGACACTACTATGTTGAGATAACATTCATGTCATTTTTAATTATTTGACATCTGCATTTTTCTGATGGTGTAGAAGTTGTTGTTGTCCTAGATGTATTTGTTTTCGTAGTAGATTCAGATTCTCTTGTCGTATCTGATTCATCCTTTTCTTTTTCATCTATCTCTTTCTTTTGCTTTTTTTGTTTTTTCCCCCGTTTCTTCTTTTTACCACCTTTGTGTGTCTTGATAGTTTTCTTTTTCATTCCTTTTGCAATCTGCTTTTTTATTTTCCTCTTTGCTTTCTTTTTGGCTTTTGCTTTTGAGCCTACTTTGCTTGCTTCCGAATATGAACTTGTTTCTTTTAAATCTGCATCTTTCTTTTTCTTCCATCCTTCTTTGTGTTTAGATGCTAACTTTTTGTCAAGATATCTTAATTCCTACGAGATAAACTTATCAGGTTATACATATTTAGTTACATACTTTATCACTTCGATAAATGGTATTAGAAATTGTACCTTCTTATCTTGCTTCTGTGCATGACTGCTACCATCTGGAGTTGTAGGGGATTTTACACTTTGATTCTGTAACATGATTCACAATATTGACGAACTGAAATTAAACTTAATTATGTATAAATTCACATCAGTACCATATCAAAGTCAGAGTCTTTCAGGCAGCAAATACGTTCTGCACCCCCCTGGTGTCTAGCAAAGTAACATTTCATGAACATTTTAACATCGCTCAGGAGTTCTGCAAATATATAATATTCACATATATTAATGTTCACCTACCAATTTGTATTTACTATGCAATCCATACTTTGCATTCTTTTTGTTTCTTTCTCTACTTTATAATTGTATTCTCCTATAAACCGTTCACGTTGGTTCTCTATACATTGCAACAGAAATTGCTCTTTTTCCATTTGTTTCTTTTGAAATTCCTGTCTCTCCTCCCACCTTGAAGGTAACAACAAACACTAATAGTTACATACCAATTTATTTGTATCATTTTAATACATACTTCCTCTCCACTTTCATACGTCTCTCTTCTCTTTCCTGGTTCATTCTCGTGTTCCTAGTTTTCGTACGTATACGTTCCTTCTTGGTCCATTCTATCAGAACATCAATCAATTTTTTCCTTTCTCGGTCAGCCGCCGCTTTCTGTTTCTGTCGAAGTAGATCAGCTCTCTCTGATCTCTTAAGTCGTTGCAGATTTATGTCCTCCTGTTTCTTTAACATCAAAGCTTGCAGTCTTTCCTCTGTTTTTCGTTCCTTCTCCTTTTGCTGTCGAGCTTTCAGTTTCTCGGCTTGTTTACGTTTCCTGATACTGGCTCCCCTTATTTTCATTAATCTTTCTCTTCTCTTCAATCTAATCAAATTGTGAACCAACTTACAAATTCCATTCCTCTATACAGGGGTGTACCGTGATGTGCGTGGACATAATTTCAATGGTGGATATAGCGCGCAAAAATAATAACAAAGCGAATTCGAACAACACCTGGTACTTTTGAACGGATCAGAATGTCAATAATAAGACATTTCCAGGCAGAGGGTGGTCACTTTTGAGTAATTTCTGTAGAGACTACCCAATCTAGGATCACATAGAAACGAGTGTAACTTGGGAACAAAGTCAGATAGGGCAAACGTTTATATGTCCTCTCTTTTTATTATTTTTATAGGTTCACCACTGAAGTTATGTCCACAGATCCTACTGTATAATTCAGTGTGTATATCGATAACTGTACCTTCTCACTTCATTCTGCGCCTGTTCCTCCGCGTACATGATAGCTGCCTCCTCCGTGGACCATTTCGAACTTCTGTTCAGCTCCTTCTTTATACCGTCGGAATGTATTTTCCGTAAATACTTTCTGTACATATTATAATCGCGCAACGAGCATTTCGCGTCCAGACTCTTCGTGATGAGTCCAGCTTTCAACAGGTGTCGAATATTATTCGGTCTGGAGAAGTAGGGAACTAAATGTTTATCGTGAAGGGAATCGTATGTCAATTCCATCTCGTAACAATATGGATCGTTCAAATTGAAATCTCCATCGGGCGCGGGGATCCATAATTCTTTGCCAAGTTTACGACGCGTGAAATTGTACGCTCCTTCTGGTCCGGGGACCATCGGTATCTTCGACTCTAACGGCATCACTTTCCATCGCGGCAGACCAAAATTTGGTATTGCACCTTTCGGCTTAGGAATTGATTCTGTTAGCTTGTCCAACCCTCTAATTCGTACGTGTATACATAAGAAATCCAGAAAAAACAACAAAAGTAAATACGGAATTAAGAATTCTCATTAACCCTTTGACGCCCAGTTTTGCACCGATGCAATACTGATTTTAAAAGTACGTGAAATTATGTCACTGGTTGATATCTAACTTTTGTCGGCAAGGATCCGTAGTTTCACTGATGTGAAGTAGATCTCTACGTTTTTAGTTGGGAAATTCAAGTAACCCCTCCAAAAATAAATAAAAAAAAATAAAAAATGAGAAAAGTAAGTCTGTTTAATATCGATATTTTCGACTTCAAAATAACAAAATTCAACATATAAGTACCCTCCCGAGCAAACTCGGCTTCCGCTAGGGGAAAAAGTGTAGGTGAAGGGCCTTCCATAACTTGGTCTCGAGAATTATTGAAATTTATGCCAAATTAATATTCGATTTAACATTTATTTCGGTACTTGAAATAAATTTACCAAGTACATCAATTTCATAATTTTGATGCAACGATTTAAGGGTCTGGGCGTTAAATGGTGAACTTGCGAATACTCACGTTGGCCTTTTCAGACCAATTATGTCGGTCACATATTTACTGCACTCTGATTTCATTTTATTCACCAGGACGCAAACGCTTTCGGACGAACAAACATAAAGAACTTCTTTGATAAAACATGTTTACATAGCGGTTACGTTTAAGATTTCACATTGCGTTCAGTGTGCCGTGACGTTGCTACGTTTACATGGTCCTACCCTCGTTTGTTCTTTTATGAATCATGTGCCCGATTTTGAAAAAAAAAAAAATACAGTTGTTCCCACGTGTATGTGTCGTCCCAAAGACATCGTTTCTTTCTTTAAAAAGCACTGTGTGTACCATTACGTTGTTGTTTTTCTTTTCTTTGTTCTGATTTTCATCGAACAGGAAGGGAAACCAATAGTCGACCCCGAGTATTATTCTCGCATAACAAGGTGCGATGCCGAACACATATTTCGGAGCGATAATCAGACTAGTATACCGCTTTTAGACGAACGATTAAAGTCCATGAGAGACGCTGGAAAGATATTGTTAGAGAGATACCAAGGTACACACGCACGAAATCGCTTCCCTCCTCTCGGATCGCCTTTGTAGCTCTTAAGGTGGCTCACGCAAATTTTTAGTAATTATAAATTTAATTGAAAATTTAACAGAACATTGTTAAAAGCTTCAATTTTCGATTGCTACCAAAAAGTCGCAAGGTTAACGATAAAATTATTGAAAAAGAAACGTTATAAAAATGTCTCTTTAACAGGAGCCTTATGGAACTGTAGTTAAATCACTTCTGATTTAGTTACAAAAAATTACATTTTCATACAAAATTAGGCGTTTATAGATTTTTTTACGGAGATTTTGATGGTTGGAAAAAAGATATGTTAACGATCAAATAAAACTAAAAATTAAGATTAAAATAACCAAACTTAGGTTTTAATTTGTTCAAAATAGTAGCGTTCAAATTAAATTTGTAAAATTGCTAAAAAGTATAAAGCGCAATATGGAGCCCCGGTTAGATACGATACCAAACGCGTGAGCTACCTGCGAATCTCTGGTGCAGAACTTTACCGATCTTTGACAGAATCCGTAATCGATCGAACAGAACCGCTCGATAAGCGAATGTACACAAAGATTTTTTTTCCAAATTTTGAACCTTACATTTCGAGTCGTAAAGTTATACACTGGACAGTAAAATGGTGTGTAAATACCTTTGTTGACCCCTGTTTTTATCGAAACCAAATGCTGAATTCGCTAGATGTTAACGTTCGTGTGTACAGAGTTCTCCAGAATTAAAGAACCAAACGCTAGGGCGTATATTTTACTCGGTACTACGCTGTAAAATGTAATATACAGCAATAAACATAGTACAGACTCCCCTAGATTATCGCCTGGCTTGTTCAACACGATTATTGTCCAGGCGTTATCCCCACTACTGTGGAGGGGGGAGGCAAAAAAACGAATTTACGAGGGTCTGAAGCATTTCTCCCTATAAGATTATTGTCCCGGCGCGGATCCGAGCTCGGGACGATAATCGAGAGGAGTCTGTACGTAGATTTTTGACGACTAGATCGAGTGAAATGCACATTCGAAGTTTGATCCATTGTTTCTGGAACACCCTGTACGTTATTGGGGTAGTGATCATGAAAAATTGGCTTCGATCGTAGGTACGTTCGTGGAATGCGTGAAATTGTGTTCAGGCTCGGCCGAGCAATTGCTCAAGCTCGTTGTGAACGAGTTCGAGTCTTATCAGGACGAGGCGGACTACGAGGGCAACAGAGGTAGGTTCCATCGAGCTGATGAATTGTCCTTCTGTTTCACAGAGATGAGTAAATCATTAAGTGATTCGTTTTAGTTAGCTTTTATAAAAGGGCTCAAATATTGGTGGGTGATATCTGGGCTTGTTTCAAGGGAGAGGGATTTGGTAAATTCCATGATATAGACTATATCACGATGTTCGCCGATTACCGGGTTCCTCAGGTTCTTCTGCACTTCGGGGCGATACGATACAGTAATCCGTTTATGAGCAGGCTTCAGTGTGGTAAGTGGAATCAGTGTAGTTATTTTGTCACGTTGATGTAGATGATCTTGTTTAATCCTCGGGAGGCGGGACGTTTTCGATGATCGAGTAGATGGAGGTTGTACCTGGATCCATGTGTGGACCCCATGGTCAGGGTATATTAAGTCACACTTTTCAAACTTTAGAGGAGAGCAAATCAAATGTGCAAAAAATCTTGTAAATTTACAACCGTTCGGTATGAATTCAATGAGAAACAATTGGTACCTTCGAACTATCGAAGGGACTCGAGACAAGTCTCTAGCCGGGATTCATAGTCTTTCATAGGGATTCATAGTGACTTTGAATCTCGGCCTCTATATATGGTGAACCTTGCATCAAGTCTCCTATATGATGGACTTTTCACTGTTTGGTTCAAAACAACATATGGACTTCATATCATTTTTACACTATTATAATAAGAACTAAACAACTTAGAACGAAACAATGTTTACCATTGGAAAGATTGGAAAATTTGATACGGGAAACATGTAAAATGTCATTTTTTTTTAAATCAGTGGACTTAATACACTCTTGAGGTCCGGATATAGATCCCCACTCATCTGTTTTTAGATGTGATTTGGAACGAATTTCTTCAAAATATCTAGATCTAGCATAAATAACTGTATGGTTTAGTTAAGTTTTTGTATGTTGGAATAAATTATTGAGGTCGAAATTGACCCAGACATCGCCGTCCGGGGGTTACGTTTTTTTAAGTGGTAACGATCGACGAAATATCTATAGTCAAATGATAGTTTAGTCACTAGATAGTATAATTCCATGATATTTGCAGACGTAGAGCTAGAGAACGGTGGGGACGACGAGATTGAAATTCGTGGTTGCTCGATAGAGGCTGTCGAGCGGGTCAGGGACGAAGTTCGATCTCTGTTCGAACGTTACCCCAACTTAGAGTTGAAAAAGTCAGACATTAATTCTGTACTGATAGATCACTTTTTGTGGGATTATCGGCGGGAACACGCCGCTGAGCTGGAACACATACCGTTCCACAAAACCAGGTGCATATATTACTGAACATAATTCGTGCTCATCCTTTTAACCAAAGTTTCTGGAGTTCTTTTTTTGGAAACTTTGAAGAAGGGGCTCAGGAACGGTTCTATGATCAATGTCGATGCACGAATAAAATCTTTTTCCTTTCTAAACTATGAAATTATATATAGCAATGGATACTGTGATCACGTTTTACAAACAATTATGTGGAAATGTATTTTTATGATTAAATAATACTCAGACGCAATGTGATTTTATGGTTAATGTATTCTGAAATGTTCCAATAAAATAGAACATTTTTTACCAACTATTTTAATCCTTCCTTGGGAAGTCCTGGATCCTGTTCCGAGTATACATTAAGTGTAAAATGAAAGACTGTTTTTCTTTGTAATAATAAACAATATATTTATATAATATCGATATAGCACAGGTTAGTGTACAGGTAACACAAAAATCGATAAAAATTTTGGTATTTTATAAAAGGAAAGTGTCTCTCTGTTCACCGAATCCTTGGTATCATTCGTTATATACATATAAATTTCGATATTAATAAATAATAAATAATGTATACGGGAATACTATATGTTTCTTCCATACTGTTCTCGGAAAACTAGAATCTGTATAAATTTCTTTCCATGGAAATTCATACAGATTCATAGTAGATTAGTAACGCGTTACTATGTATACTTTTATATACACTAATAATTTCAGTTTCAACGATATATTTACAATTGATCATAAACAGCGTGCGCAACAATTTTTGACGAAAAATTTCCAAGTCCTGCGGAATACAGGAATTACCTAATTAGTTTCTTTGGCTAATTGTGAGCGAATATCGATTCATTTGGCACGAACGCAATTGCATTAAACGCGTTTGCACAATTATTGTTAATACGATTCCTTTTAACTTTGCATCAGAGAGGCTGAACCCATTGATTCAACCAGCATTCGTTTCGCACGGTTAATTCACTTTGTTTAATCGATCTGTCACGTATGCTCGCGTTCAAGAAGAATGGCAACCCAATTAACAATCCCCTGTCAATTCAGTACATCGATTACATTTTACCCGTCGTCTATTCAACGACAATGAAAGCATGCAAAATATCCACTTCTTCCAGACCTCTTAATTCGATGCTTCATTTTAAATCTCATTCGATACCTTGGATTATATATTAGGTGTACCAAAATTCACTAATTTCCAATATGGTGGCGATACATTTTCGATTTAGAATTTTTTTCCAAACAGTCAAAATGGCAAAGAATGATGGGAACATGTAACTAATACTGTTCAAATAGTGATAGGTATTTGAATATTTTGAAATAAATTCAGTCTGAAACGAATTCAGTTCGAAAGGAATTCAATTCGAATGCAATTCGATTAAAAAGAAATTCAATTCGAAACGAATATTTCGAAGAGTTCAGCTTCACAGAAAATAGTGGCCGACTTATTGGTATACCTAATAATTCTCTCAATTTCCCCTGCAACGAGAGACGTTTCGAAGTAAAATACAATTTTCGAAACCGTTCACGATACACACTTATGGACGAGCAATTCAACTTTTCCTCTGCATCTGTTCCCAGAATATTATATTTGACTTCAGTTTCCCCGGTAGAATTACTTTTGTGTCGCCGGCGATATTGTCGATCGTCGTTTGAATCACTTCCGGTTGACTTTCTTGCGTGTCGGCGGTCTGTTCCATCGTCACGTGACTAGCCGGAGGTGAAGTGACCTTGTTCGGAATCTGCCTGAGGCCCTCTCGAAATTGTTTCGAAAGCGACCTGGCGGTCAAACTGTGCATTTGCCTTGGGGTCTCGACTATTTGCACCTCTGGGGTCGATGACCTCTCTTTGCTCACGTTGCTCGTTTTATTTATCTGCAAGAAGAATGTAAAAAACGTAAAATCACTTTCCAGGCTTCATTTACACTTTTATGTTAAACCGTGAAGGAGGTGAAAAGGTGGAACAGTGAGAGATCAAAGTATATTGTGTAACTATACCAATAAGCATTCCACTGTTTTATTTTAATAAATTTGGTAAAATTGTTTAAATTCAAAATATGTTCTTGCTTTTCTCGTTTTGCTTAAAATCGCAGTGAAATGTTGAAGAACTAGGACAAATACCACTGAAAAAAACATAGGCTTCTAAAGACTGAATTTAACAAAAAATAGTGGATTAGTTATTGGTACACATAATATTGTGTAACTCCTTATAATTTCATTTACTTTTGTATTGTTCTATTCTTCACGTACTTCTGGTTGAAGAATTGATATTTATTATTCTATAATTCAACAGGTATCTTTCGTAGACGTATCAAATTAAATTATAAATGATGAAAACAACAGTAGTAATACCACTTCTTCTATTGTGAGGTGATATATTGTAAGCTCCTAGATTCTCGAATTCCATAGAAACTATCAATTTCATCGAATAATAGTGGTTTGCATATTGGTACAATTAATACTTCCTTATTAGGAGATAACCGAACCTTCTAATTTTAACTAAAACTCACAATGGGGACTTTGAACACTGGTAGATTTCGTCATTCTATTTACAAAAATACCCAATATAGGGCCAGATACCCAATATTTTCCGAGACACTCACAAAATTTCAACACTACACCAAAATATAGTCGAGTTCAAGTAGCTATTCTCTTTACCTTCGAAACAGGTGCAGCAACAGGTTCGGCCTGTTTGCTGAACGCCTGAGCAAGCCTCCTAACCGACGGTAGCGGCAATACTTTCCGATCGAGACTTTCTTCACTCAAAAGCTTGCTGTTCCCAGTAGTCAACGACTGACTCTGGCCCCTCTCCGAGGAATTATCCGTGTCGTTTCCCGACTCATCCACAGAAGACTCAGTACTCTTCACGTTTGACTTCTCTAGACTGTAAGTACTAGCCAGACTCCTGACAGACCCATTCTTCATTGTCCCCAATTCCGAGTACGAGTTCTGATGATAACTCTCAACTTCCTCGTCCTCCTGATTGCTATCCGTATTCGAGCAATACCTCGCTATATTTGGCACCGATTTAGCTGACTTCAGTCCAAACCCGTTGTAAGTCTCATCCTCGAACTTATTCAGATCCTCCGTGCTTTGGGTCAAGTTATTGTCCCCTGAAGCTTGAGTCTGCACCATGTCGTGACCATTATCATAATCATTGTGACGCGTCAGGTTCGATTTGTTGGTGATTCTTGGCTTGAAGTCATCCCTCGAGATGCTGTTCAAATGTATATTGGACTGAGTTCGTCGTATCCCACCATCGTAACCAAATGACTTCAGGTCCAATTTGTTCACTACCCTGGGGCTAGTGGTCTTGGTAGTTCTTTTGTTCAGGCAGAACTCGTTCTCGAATCCGTACGCTTTAAGATCGATCCTCTTGATCTTTTTCTGGTTCTCTTCAGCGTTCGATTTCTTCGTCTCGATCACGTCGTAAGTCTCTTGGTTGTTTAGCTTCGCGTTTATCTCGTTCTTGTTGTTCTTCCTCTCGTTCTCGAGGATCTCCTCCATCCTCTGGTCCTCCCAGGTCCTATCGCCTTTGTTCATCATCTCCGTCTCGTTAGAACATTCCGTCTGCCTGACAGGGGGCGACTGGTAGCTGGTCTCCAGATTGTTGTTCCTCTGCCATTTCGCCACCTTCGATTTCACATCGTTGCTCCTATTCAGGAGGTACTCGGTCTCCTTGTACCTTGGGTCCTCCTGGAACAGAAAGCATTTCGGGTACAATTAAATGTCTGACAGTTGCAACAACTTCGCTAGCGTTTCCATCGGGTCATTGTAATTCCGTTAGTGGGATTGATTGTGCATCCTGGAGGGATTAGTCTTGTGCATACTTAAGCGCCAGTGGGTTAAAAATTGTTACGTCATAGCCATTGTTATTTTATATTTATGGATCGTGCAAAAACCACGGAGTTTGCGTTAGTACCATTCAAAGATCCTGGTCCAAGTTCAAGATCAGAACAGTCTGCGTTTATTTTTATGAAACCAGAGAAGCCTTCCAACGATTCCATTCACATTCCACATGCAATACCGCCTGACCACCCGGGTTAGTTAATCATTTGTATAAACGCACCAAAAAAACGGTACTTACCGAGCGCAGGATCGATCACACGAAACGCTTGACACGTGTTCCAATAATACACCGTTTACCTACGATCTACAATCTACTTTATACAGTAAATCTTCGATTAACGCTCGAACCGCTTTGGAGCAGTTATCGCAGAGGGACACGATTTCTTCACTTCATGAATTTTTAATAATGTACAATAACGTGATATTAAGACACACTAATGCGATTTATTCCGTTTATTTAATGAATAAATAAATAAACAAAAAATTTTCACTTCATGAACTGCATTTCGGGCTGAGTTTCTTGTATGGAACTCTTCAGTAACGGGAACGACGCAGAAGTACTTAACGTAAGAAATCCTTCCGAGCAGTTACCGAGAATTTACTGTATTTAATACACATAAAAATCGATTTTGTTTTTGTTTTTGTACAATGTCGACTTACTATTCGTGCATGTATGTATCTACAAGAAAGAGTCAAGAGAGGATTTTATTTACAGTTCTTGCGAAGGGTGTCTTAACACTTTGTTTAGGATTATTTGTTACAATTGATCGTGAGGATCGAGAGAGAGATAGCCCGCACCAGAAGAATACCATGCACTTCAAATGAAGTCTAATTAATAGAAACAATATATTTAACACATAACTATACATCCTCTGACATTCGTATTTTACAGTTTTCCCGCGCAATACAGTTATCCATTACTCGTTTTTTGCTTCCATCGAGCGAACGAATTCAGTCAGATTCATTTTAGGGGATAAGGAACCATCGTTGGAAAATATGGCACTCGGTTTAGAAAAGGACCATTGTCCGTAACTGTTACAGATTCACTCCCTTTCGGAAATTAAATTCGATTAATTAAAGTTCACCAAATCGTGACGTCGCTGAGACTCCACACTCCCAGCTTTCTCCTAGGCTCAGGGCTCTTACGTTTCCTGGTTCTTGTCCTGAGGTCCCTCAGCGTCTCGAAGGTCCTCTCGACGACGTCTGGAACGATAGGCGGCTCTAACTTCAGACTTTCATTGTCGTCGGAGAAACGATGTTTGTTCAGCGATCTGGCTCTCTTAGAATCGTTGAACACCTTTCTTCTGGAGGTATTAAAATAATACGCGGTGTTCGCCTTTTTCGAGGCGTCTTTCAGAAACTTGGCCATTATCGTTCTATCAGGGACATTCGAGTCTTGCCAGTTTTCATCGGAGGATGATTGATACTGAATCATTCTGGTCGGTCCTTTAGAAGATTTAGTCATACACTTTCTTCTAGACTCTGTGCCATAGTGGTTTGGAGCTTGAAGTGTGTTTTTTACTGAATTGGTCTTTCCAAAATAGTCTTCATCCGACCATTCAGTGTTTCTGGCAGACCTCAGATCCAAACGTTCACGAATCTTCGTATGATTTCGTACACCTGATTCACTTTGAGTGGTCTTTGCGCCTTTAGCATTTCTCTGAGCTCTCCAGGATGACCTCAGTTTCATTTTTCTACAAGTGGTTACTCTCTTTCCGTCGATCTTCTTGTTTCTCTTGATCCCTCCGAAAGTCTGTAACCTTAGCTTGCCGAAATCATCAACGTCCATGGTCTCGAGTTCATCGACCTCGTACTTTGACCTCTCTTCGTCGGAGTCCTCAGTGGATCTTGTCGAACTCTTAATTCCCCCGAACGTGTGGTGCTCGTAGCTGTTGAAGTTCCAGTACCTTTTTCCATTGGACGACAGAATCTGATCGCTGGAGCAGTCGTCGCTGCGCAATCTCTTATATCCATCTTGTTTCCTGGTGTCTTCTGGATCGGGCAGATCGATGGAATACATACCCGAATCTTGATCAGGGTTGAATTTCTCCAAAGACGTGGGTAACATCTGTTCAAGCTCGTAGAGTGGATTGTAAGCTACCTTCTCGGGAGCTTCATAGTTCGAATTCAACAGCAGTTTCGAGTGATCGTCATGGATACGCAGAGATTCGGTGGATCGGTTGAACAAATCGTAATTCGTGGTTTCATCGTTCTTTCTTTTATCACCTTGCATCATTTTTCCTTTTTCTGTGCGCTGTTCTGTGCAGGTGATCGGTTCATCCGAAATATTCGTGTCTTCAGCGTGGATCCTAGCTTTTATAGTATTTTGGTTAGCATGATCAGTGCTATCCTGTTTGCTACCCTCGTGTTCCAATCGCAGAAGAGGGTTGATCGCGAAGTGCGGACTGGAGTACGGATCACGATAGGTCCATCTAGGAAGGCTGCCGCGCAGGGAAGCCTCCTCGAACTTTTCGAGCTGGAAACTCACCTGTTGTTCCTGGTCGGGCCCGATCGAGCTCGATCCCTGGGACAGTGAGCTGCTCGGTCTGCTCGAGGTGGACGCGGTTGATCTTCGTCCTTTCTCGTTGATCGACGCTCGTGAGTTGATGTAGTAGTCCCTGCCGAACCTGCGTGCACGTGAGAATATTGTTACGGTAATAAATAGACCACGAATTTAACGCAATTAGTAGTTTACATAAGTTTATAAGACTTAATCATGTGGAAACTTTAATACAATTCAATGTATGAGGTCGCGTTGGACATTTTCGAGTTTATTGATAGGTATATTTGACGTTACTTTTATAAATGAAAATTTTTAACATAACTCTATTGTTTATTGCAAAATTATACAGTACACTCGACCCGTTTCAAGATATTATGTAACGTAACAATAAAATCAATTTTGTTGAATACTAAAGTCAAGTTCAGGTAGAAAATTAATGTTCTTGTTAGATAAATTCGGTCATTTCCTCTATGTGTATTGAAAGACGGACAATTAACACAAATTCATGGATATACTTGATAGAAATGTGTGTAAGTTTCTGCTAAAAAATATTATTTAGGAAATGAGTTTACAGAAGTGTGAATTTACACAGACGGATTTGTGTTTTAATATAATATTCTTGGTGTATAATTGTATATACGTATAAATGTAGAATGTATATGAGTTAAAGATCATGAATAAAATGGGTGGTAGCACATATAGAAATATAAAAATATAAAAATATAAAAATATAAAAATATAGAAATATAGAAATATAGAAACATAGAAACACATAAACATAGAAATAATAGAAACAATAGAAATATGGAAATATAGGAATATAGGAATATGGAATACAGAAATATAGAAATATGGAAATAGAACTTTTTGTTTTCAATGTGAGTAGAAATTACCTTTTAATGTCCGGTTCTTGGGGCGTTAGAACGACTTCCAAATCCGTCCCGTTGCTCTTCGGCAATTCGGCATGGATTCTGAACAAAACCATTCATTAAACAAACACCTAATTCATTTACTTCATAAATTCAACAATTAGGAATAAGTTTTACCCAGGAATATCGGACGGTCTTCTCGAGTATTGTCTCTCCCACAGCCTTTTTTGGATATTCTCCTCGCTGTAGGGATTGTTCTGGATAGGCGGAGCGTTTTCCCATTTCTTGTGCTCTCGTTCGGCTATCGTTCCTATTTCAAAAACACAAAAATATAATCCAAATGTTTAACCAGTCTGGAAGACACAAATCAACAAATGACTCAAAAATTTGTTCACACTTAGTGTTACAGTATTATTTTCTAGTTGCTCTTGAATATCGTTAATTCGCTCCCTGCCATAACTATAAAACCACCCTAAAATTTTAAATTCTTATGTATTCCCCAAACAGAAGTGGTTCGTTTTTATTTTAACTGCAATACATAAGGATTGCAAATTTCAGGGTGGTTTTATAGTTATGCCACGCAGTGTACTTAAAAGTTTGATAAAGTTTAAGGATATTTTTATTTTATTTTCAACCCTTGTTGAATAGTAAACGAAGTAAACGAACTTAGATTTTTTTCTAATTCCCGTAAAGTAGACTATAAAACATCTATGTCGGCATAAACATCCAGGCAGTCCAAAAATGACCAACAGATGCTTGGCAAGCGGATACCAAAAGAATTCGTTTAATTTTTTGCAATATTCTCACTCTTAATTTTCGACTTGTTGCCTCATTGTAAAATCATTCCCTAAAATTTAATCTTCGAGTATATCCTATCGTTCAAATATTATCATTGCTCACTTCTCCGCGAATTTGCAAATTATTCTACAGTATGAGAAATTTCTCCCCATTGAAAATCAATATAAAATACACGATTCGAGATTATTGGTCACACCTGGTCTCGGAGGAGCTGCAAGCTGGGTCTCTTGCTCCTTCTCGTTCCGCAGAGACAATCTCGATGCCGATCCAGCCTTGGCCAGAGCCACAGCCTCACGGCACCTGCTGCACAAAGGAATGTTGAAAGTAGATTAAAATATCATCGATAAAAAAAAAATGGAAAATCCTTAGGTCGACTTGGCGGACCGTCAGCATTGACGTTTACGAAACGAACGAACGATTGCCTCTCGATCGACTCCCTTCGATACAAAAAACAACCGAGAACCGACTCGAATCGAACTCGATTGCGTCTTCGAATTTCACGGTTTGCTCCTTTACCTTTCTTCATTCTCCGGTAACTCGTCGTCCGGTTTACCATCTAACGACCAATTTTCCACGACTGGAACATCAGTTTTCGTTAAACTGTCCAAGTGTCTTTGCGTCGCGATGTCGTAGTGCTCGGTGTACTCGCTTTCCTGTTGGATATCCTCGGCTGTAACATAATATCATTCTAATTTTCTAGGTGATTAACGATTTTATTTGCAGTGTATATAATTCGTTATCGCAAGAATATCAAGCATTAGTCAAAGGTATGGTAACACTTGTACATGGGCGTAGCCAGGTTGTCAGTCAGGAGGGGCAAAATGTTTCTTACGGTAAATTTTATAATATTATTTTTCTCCACTAGGGGCGGGGGGGATCCAGTTTTTTCCCTGTAGAAAATCCCACGTTTAGAAAATACATTTATTAGGTATCCCAATAAGTAATGCACTACTTTTTTGTGTGTGAAATTTTATGTTAGTCCGAAATAATTGAAACTTCTATCCTATCTGAACAGTGTCTGGTATTTGTTTTTATCATTGCTCATCATTTTGACCAAACGAGAAAGACCGAAAAAATATTCTAAATCAGTTCAAAAGTGCCAAAATATTCCAATTTCCCATCCTATTTGAACAGTGTATGATATTTGTTTCCATCATCCCCTATCATTTTGACCAAGCGGAAAAGACCGAAAAGATATTTTAAATCCGTTCAAAAGTACCAAAATAATTAAAATTCCTATCACTAAATGGAAGATTGGAAAGATATTCTAAATTTAAATTATATCACCATTGTATTGCAAGCACATTGCTTATTATTCCACCAAATTAGTTTACCAGATATTTAACGCGTTACGTTTTGCAAATATATTCTATGCTCTAATTAAAGGTGTTCTATATATAATCTACAATATCAACGGATGCCTTGATGTTCTGTCCTCGTGACTTGGTGTGAAATTTACCGTGAAAATCGTTTTCCTGTTGAGCACACTTCTCCTCTTCCTGGATCGTCTCTGAAGTATCCTCGTCCACGGCCATCAGCTTCATCTTAGCGGATTCCAACGAGCTCAAGACGTTTTGATCCTTCAAAGCGAGCATTTCCGCGTGGTTCGCGATTTCAGCGCTCCCTTCCGTTACAGAAACCTGCCTCGGTGTGCACGTGGGCGTCTTTGGCAGATTCGAAGCAGTATCTTCCACTTTGAAGGTCGTAGTAGTCTCACTCAAGTTATAGCAATTCGATGAATTAGTCTCCACAAATTCCTTCTTTTCCACAGTTGCTTCAACATTCCTTGAATCGTTCAAATTTTCATCACTTTCCGTTTTTCCCCTGAATTCGATCGGTTCGCATTCCATCTTGATCTTCGAATTATTCTCGATCGTATTCGTCGACTCTGTAACTTTCTCCTCGACTTTCTCGGATGACTTTTCAATTTCATTTTCAACATTTTCATTTCGATCAACTTTCCCGTTCTCCAAAGCTGGTTTAAAATCGTCTTGTCTCTCTTTTTTGATCTGATCTTCGATAATTTTATTTTCGTTCTCTTCGATCTTTGTGTGTACAGACACTGCAGTCTGTTTCGAGTCCTCGACTCCGTTATTCGAGGTTTTCGGATGGATATCTAATCCATTTCGGAATACCGATTTCTCTGGTGATCGTGGAACGACGTTGATTATGGCCTCCATTAGTTCCTTCTCGATTTCTTCATCTGATTGTGCGGAGGAACACTCGGACAGGTCAGACGTGTCCTCCGCGTCTTTGTCGCCGATCAGAGCTTTGAAATCGGCGCTGGGGTTCGGTACCAACATGGCGACCGGATCAGCTTGGGTCTGGACCCGTTTCTTTTGGAACAACCAATTCTCCTCCCACGAACCTAACGGAGACACCAGACCGATGTGCGTTGTCGGTGTGTCCGGTTCGTCTTGGCTGTCCTCCGATTCCTGCGAAGCTGGAATTCATATTTTTCACACGATTATCAAATTATACTCACGCGGTTAAATCGTTGATGGTTATACAGGGTGAAGCATGGAACCACTTAGATATTGCGTAACTAATGATTTTAGTGTGAAATGTTTCAGGTAAAAGTTATATGGTTTCGAGGGGTGCATAAGGCTATAGTCGAATAAGGGAGTCAAATGTGCCCGTAAACCAAATTCAAGCTTATAAAAAAAAACCATGTGTGCCAAGTTTTAGCTTTGTATCTCGTCGGGGAGGGTAGTAATATTGTTAATAATTAATGTAAAATTTGTTTCTTTTTCTTTTAAATGAAATCATATTTTTTATTGCGTTAGTCGATCCAGCGTCTCTTAAACTAATAGTTTGATAAATTTTGAAGAAGTTTTTATTTTCTTTGGAAACTGGTAGAATAATAAATAAAGTAATCTTGGTTTAACTTTAGTTCCTACAAATTAATCCCCCAACGTAATAATGGCGTTCGAAATATTAACGAGAGTATATAGTCGCTACAATCGTTATCCAATTAGATATTACGAAGTTACAACGTTATCCCGTCGTCAAAGTGAAATTGTACGAGTCATTAATTGTATTAGAGATCTAATCACGACAGTTAATTGGATGAACGAGTATAATTGACCCGCGTGTATCTAAGGATTATTTAAAATTGTGTAATGTTTTACGTTTGAATAACGTCGAGTGTAACATATAAAACCAACTAATTACCAGGAGTTCCATTAAAATCTTAATTGTTCGTAAATATAGGAAGTCACTATATAATATTAAAGAGGTGGCGTGTAATGATCGCGATTCGGTGTGTGAAAAATTGATCTTAACGCTCACGATCGATGATGTCCATCCCCAGTTCCGGAAATGGCACTCGATGGGTGTTCCTAATGGCCAACGCATCGTTATCTTTGGGATCCTCTCCGGACGTGTACGTGGTGGTCACTTCCTCTATGCGTTCCTCTATCTGGAACGACAAAACGACGCGAACTTTCGTTCGTAAATCTTGTAAAATGGGAATCGATGAAACTTTCGTTCCGTGTCACTTTTCCATGACGAACGCATTGTTCTGATAGTGTGCTTCGACGTGAAGCAACCGTTCCGCTTCCGCTGTCGCTTATCGACACTTAACGCAGGTGACTCAGTGGCCAATTACCTGTAAATCTACAAACCTATTCGGGGAAATGGTCCAATACCAATTTCCCTGTCACTGTAATGAATATTTGTAAACGATTGCAATTTCAAAAATGATATGGTACAGGAGAACGTTTCAAGGCCATTTGCAAAGTACTTTTTTACTTTTTTTACACTCGCTCGAACTGAAACAAAGAATTGTTTATAACTAAGAAAATATGAATCGTTCGACCTGTTTACTAGGACATTTTTACATCATTTGACGAGTACTATATACAAGTTATGAACTCTTGTTTTCTTTCACCCTGTATATTGATCGTTCTTAAACACTAAAACCACTAAACAAGTTAAAATGACTTGTTAGTACCCTCTTATCACGATGACTAAAATGTTCTAACAATACATTATCTCAGATCTATCGCAACTTTTATCACGATACGAAAGCGAAGTATTTAGTCAATTTATGAATTAGTAAATCGTCAAAAGTTTATCAGGTTTATAGACGGATCAAAATAGATACCTGTTTATCGTCGGTAGTTCTAGTGTTAAACCCCTTATCGCTACACATTTCGAAAGCCTTTCATTTCTCAGTTTTTCTTTCATTATTATATCTCGTTTTTTTCTCGAATATTTTCTACCTAAAGGATCCCGAAACGAGATTCCCCCAGAGACTCCACTTCCCATAAATTCCCCGACACCTCGTAAACGATCGTGACTCGTGGTCTCTCCCCCCTCGTAAAAGATCAGCGGAAAAAGATGACCCACCGTGAGGGATAATGGTTCCGGTTGGTTCCTCGGTTGTCTCGAGCCGGATTGGCTGCAGTCGCTGCTGCAATCGTCCTGCGACAATGGCTCCAAACTGCTGCAACCATCCTCGACACCGTCGCCGAATCCTATCTCGCTTTCGCCTTAAAAAACAATATAAAAACAAAAAATCGATAGTCGCTTTCACCCTCTTTGTTTGTTGGTTTCTAAGTCGCCCGATACGACGACTGGATCATGATTATCGACGCTTACTTATCGCGCACTTGGACGCTGGCACCGGTTTCCCGTGGAGAACGTTGCTATTACCGTCCACCTGTTCCTTTTGGTATTTCTCGATGACCTAGAAAATCCAGTCATCGATTTATTCTCGGTTACGCCGCGGGATATCTCGAATTCCACGTACATCTTACATACATATAGACGATGTCGTGTCCGATCTTCGAGGACGTAAGTACGTCCTTGAGGACGAGGGAATGAAAATTTGTCATTTCTCACACACGTACCTTGTTCAGTATAGCTGTCGCAAGTAGGTCTTCGTAGCTGTGATCGACGATGTTCCGAGTATCTGACGACCGTCCGGTCTCGGTGGAACCACCACCCAGACCTGGTAGCTTTCGAGCCTCGTCCACAGCTCGCTCGACGATCTCCCGGAGCGCTGTGTGGGCCATCGCCGGCGTGTCTCCGTTCGGTTTGTCTGGACATTTTTTTGGAAAAGGGGGATATTATTGAATGTCCGTAGGGAAGAATTGCGACTAGACTGTGAGTTTCATGTGTTTATGGTGTATACAGTTCACATTGGGGAAGAAGCGAACTAGTCAAGATGATGGATTTCATATTTCTTTTTAGTTAGTTACGATCGTGAAGCTGCTTTTGTGGGAATTTAGGTTAATCCTTAATGCATTAGACTAGATTATGTATCATTGTATTTATTTATATATATATATAAATTTTAGCTAGAAATTTAATATTAGTTTATATTAATAGGTTGGACATTCAAGATTCCTTCTATAGCGATGTTAATGTTTTGAGAAATTAATTAATTGTTAAAAATATTATGACCGTGAAAATTGACCGAGTCGAATCGTTACTTTTTGTCCCACCTTGGGGTAAAAAGTAACAACGCTGGGGTAAAGTTGTACCACAAATAGATTCAGCAGAATTGTGCACAATGAAAGACAAAAAAATAATTTAAACTAGCTAGTGATTACAAAGAACCAACATAACATTACAGTTTTCTATTTAATTGGCTCAACACAACATTATTTCTTAATCAATAGGTACTCTACGTAACATAAATTGTCTTCTTATAATTAGCACAACATAAGATTCTCTTCTTAACGAGATCAATTAATTATCATAATTAATAATTATCATAATTGATTGATTATTTGTTATCATAGCGCTGTCTCTATTATCTAAAGAGTTATAAGCCCTGTTAGAACCTACCCCTGTTACTTTTAACCCCGGTGTTCCCTGCACTGAGTGACATGTCCACTAAAACCGGACATACTGTACAGGTGTGTGCATTGCGATCATTTCTATTCACATCGAATTATATCCACGTCCATCATCGAGATCCCGGACAATTTCTACGATAGTCTTCCTCCCAGGTGCATACATCCATATAACAGCCACCATTTAATAGAGCGGAACAATTCCAGGTGAAACGTTCACACGAAGGAAATAAATTCCGCGAGAGGGTTAACGAGTGTGTCGCGTCGTCAGCGGGGAACCAGAAGCCGCCGCGAGGCGCACTTTCTTCGAGGCGGCAGCCTCGATCGAAACGATCGATCCCATTGGTAATGGATCGTACGATGATCGCGAAGGCAACAACGCGTCATAATTTCACCGTGGCATCGGCCTTGTCGGCCTGTTCCTCGTTTCCTCTCCTGTTTCCCCTCCGGTCATCAGGTGAAATTCATCGGGTCGTCCCGCTGAACTCTTTCCACGGGAAGCTAACTGATCCACGGAACACTGACTCGTGATCTTCCATCTTCGACGATATACAGTGAGAGTCAAAAGTAAGTATACACCCTAGAACGGTGAGGTTCGTGTAATACTTCTGTAACATCCTACTAATTGTACGATCAGGGTAGTAATAAAATTGGGTATGATTTTTAAAACATTTTTTAGGTGAACAGGAAGCTAAATAATTCGAGAAATTCAGAGTTATAACCACAAAATTTTGTAAATATCGTTGAACATGGTGAATGTACTGTTATGGTTTGGGGCAATATAACAACCTTTGTTGTAGGGCAATTGGTCTTTATTCATAGTACTATGGACAGATTTGGATAGTTAAATATTTTATACTCAAATTCAGCTGCTAGTGCATTCGTGGGTCTTTTAGTGAGATTGTGGCCCAAAATATACGGGAAAGGTGGCTAAAAATTGTTTCAATCAGTTGGTCCTCTTCCACAGTCACCAAAAAAACCTAAACTGGGAATTAACCCTAATTTAAAAATTAACTCTAAATTGGGAATAATAAGTATGAATAAATCCCATACTTTCAAATTGTATACTCACTTTTGAGTCTCACTGTATCTTTGAATTACACACGTCTCTTAAGGCTCGGGAACGTCTTGGAAGCAAATGTTTCTTGGAAGTCTGACGCGCGGTGCTTCGAGGAAAATTTCTTTTAGCAGAATATAGATTGCGTTTGTAAAGTGGCGGAGAAATGGAGATGGAGGAGTAGTTGTGGGATATGCCCTTTTGATCGTTGTTGCGAATGTGTAACGGAGATAATATATTTTTGGTCTCTCGAGTTTCTTATCTAGATAAGTTTTGGGTAATTTGTATTTTTATTTAACCCCTTGAACGCCTGTTAAAATTTAGGAAAACGGTCAGAATAGTACTGGCTCTTTTTATTTCATTATATTATTGTGTAAATGTTTATAAACTTGTACCAAACACTAGTTTTCGAAACAAATCTTCTATTTTTATATGTATAACAGAAGGTAGAATTACATTATGTAGGAAAAAATGAGGAAAAATAAGAAATTGTGTTAAGGGGTTAAAATAAAGTGTTCTGTTATTCGGATGATTTTGTTATTATTGGATGCATTTATCGGAGATGTACTATATTTTTTTTTAAATGTTAGATTAATTCTTCTATGAATCCTGTCGATTCACACCGATCATAGATCGCGATTGAATTCCACAACTTGCCTCTTATCTTCCCGCTGAATTTCGAACGTATGCTAATTCGCATTCCTCGTCTCCGATTAGAAAGACAGCACATTTCGCCCGTGGTCCGTGTACCAAACGCACACAGCCGCGATCGTTCAATGGGGGCTTTCTAACCCTGATCTTTCGCTAGAAGGTGAAGGTCGCCTACATTTATATTTCCTGTTACCTGTCTCACCGTGGCTCTCGGCTATCTCCGCCGTGATTCATTAGCCACAACGAACGCACGATCGCCTTTCAATTAATTATCCCCCGTATCGATCTCACCGATTAGTCCAGTCCTGTCTTCTATCCTGTACGGTGTTCCAATTCTATTTAAAAGAATTTTCCTCGAACTGGTATCCGATACAATAACAACATTCAGAGAGTAAAAGCTGGTCGAATCTTTATTCAATTAGAAAATTATTCGTTCGTTCGAAAAATCGAACTAATCAGAGCTTGGTCAGCAGATTCGCACTCTGATTGGTGGAGGTTTTTTGTTAATATCTCGTTAACAAAGCTTCGGATAACATTTTTGCTAAGTAAAAACTTGTTCCAAATCACTTTACGAGTGACCCATTTGACGACTTAAAGACGTTCATTTTATGGCTGTTTTAGGTCTAAGGCACCTTTAAGCCGTCTTCAAGGCGTCATTAGGCGTCATGTGTTATCTCGGTGTATATATGTACTTTACGTCACAGATGTTTTAATAAAACACCACAGCCTTAACTTTCCACCATTTACCGTTCAGAAATGTCAGGTGTCTTTCCGACTAACTGAGTTATCTGGTCTTTGAGGGTTAATCTGGGAGAATTTGTTAACACGTTCACCATCGTGTCGGTCACCGATGATTAAATCGTTTATCCGCTCGAACTCGAATCTTTACGTCATCGTTGTAAATATCCATCCGACAACAAAAAGGTGCATCTCCAAGTGACTTTACATAAAACCACGTAGTCAACTGTCCTTCGTTGCTTTCTTACACTCGATCGATCGTGTCGGCGCGTAAATACGCATTCATAATCCGACGTGAACACACCGGTAATTAAACGATACCGAGAAACGTCAGTTTTAATCGGTTCGTACTTGAAAGTATATTTACCGGAAGAGGTACCTTAATCTGTAGATCTCTTATGCAAAATGTTGAAATTCAAAGTGAAGCCAGTTATTCTAATCAGTAATTATACGACAGTAAATAAAAGATTTGAATTAAAATTTTATGCATATCATTAACGATTATTTAATTGTATTTTAAGCGTTTTGTAATCCATGTACAAGCAGTGCAAAGTTTATAACAATTTAGACTTTGGGAAAGGTTTTAAAAAAATGGTTAAGAGTAATAAGCATTAGATTTGTTTTATATGAAAGTTTAAACAATTGTTAAAATGGGCATCTAAATTTTAATTGCAACCTCCTGCAACCTTTTAGTGTAAGCGACTTTTAAGAATTAGAAGCACGTGGTATTCTGCGTGTTGATAATATCCAGGCACGTAGTCTGCTTGATATATTATATTACTTTTATATTAGTTATACTGAATAACTATAATATATTCCCTTGTTAAATCTAAAAATCTACATACTATTGAATCCGTCATCTGGAATTTTGAATTTTTTATGTCAAATTTGTTATCAGTAGACTGCGGATTTTATGCATTTGTAGCATATTAAGGCCTGTGAAATACAATAAAAGAGAAAACTTCCATCGGATCCAACGATTTTCTATTTTATTCTGAACCCAATAAGATACTGACAAGAAGAAAGAAATTCCTACCATTGTTCTTGCCTTTATGAATTACTGTAGAAAATGTAATTTTGCATAAAAATCCGCAGTCTAGTTATGAGTGATGTCAAAAAAGCTTGATTACCAACTTTTAGAAAGTTCCAATGATATTTCAACTTTTGGCCAGTAAAAACGCGTTTTCAAATTACTGTGCAATGATAGGGCATACAACCAGCCCTTCTCACCTAAATCCCCCTCAAAAGCACACTCAGCTGGTCGATTATAAATATTTAAAAATCTCGACGAAACAATCAACGTTATTTTCTCGTGCTTTTTAAATCAGTCAGCATTGTCACGTGGTTGAATCCTCTAGACCGAATCGAACCACGGAAATCGAACCACGGAAATCGAAACACGGAATCGACGAACGAAGCAACGCCAGGTCGTTGATGGTTCCCGATCGTAAACGTTTTTGACGTAACGCGTAACGGAATTACAGTGATTATCGCCAGGAGCCGCGTAACCGTTGAGCGCGGAAAGGTTTCACTCCCCCGTACGTCGTCGAATTGACAGTCGAAGACATCGACCCGGGAGAATCGTTGGTTTCCTGGGACGTTAATTCGATGTTTCTTAGTCGGACGTCGTGAAATCTTCGTGGAGTTTAAGCACGACGAATAAACGAGTCTCGCGTGTCTACGCGTTTTATACGTACTCTGGTCGTCTCTTAAACTCTGCTGGAGGTTCTTTAATGACTTCTCAGGTGAAAGGAACCGCTGCGGATGATGATGATGATAATACCTCGACGATTT